TTCTGCGACCTTTATCCAAAGTGCCTTGGGCTACACCGTATCCGATAAATTTCTCGCCATTATTAATTACGTCCAAAATAGGTATGTCCATTTCGCGAGCGGCATCTAGAACCATTTCAAATACGTCCGGATTAGTATAGTTGAAATACCTGATATTTAAAGGTCCGTCATGACCACAGTATTTGCTCCTCCATTCGTCACTATGTCCATGACCGCAAGATTGCGATTTCTTGAAATATGGGAGAACTTCGTCATAACTCCATCCTTCGTTTCCCATTCGAGACCATTCGTTGTAATCCTCGTCATTGCCCATAATATAGAGCATAGCATTTAAAGTAGAGCTGCCGCCGAGAGCTTTCCCTTTTGCCCATTTGCACAATTTGTTTTTGCTACCGTGACAAGCAAATTTTTCGGGTTCAACATCGTATGAATAATCTACCGGTGAGTTTAGTTGCATCAAAATGGCCCCGGGAATCTCATTAAATACAGAGGGATTATCGCCAGCTTCGATTAACAGTACTTTCCAATCTTCTACTTCGGTTAAACGATTGGCCACCACAGATCCAGCGCTTCCACTACCAACAATTATAAAGTCAAATTCTATATTAGAAGCAGCAATTTCTTCTGAACGATCTGGAGGGTAAATATCACTGGCTAAGCTACATTGCGCTGCTAGAAGCGTTTGCACTAGGTATGCAAAGATATTAGCAGGAGAGCTGTTTATTGCAGCCGCACAACTGGCAGTCAAGCATGCTTCCATAATTCAGGTGAAACGATTTATCTGCCGAAAAAAAAACATTTTTTAATACTTAATTTATCACTAGAATGCATATACAAATAAACGTACAAGTAAGAATTAATTAAATCTAAGAATAAAGATATAAGAATAGAGATATATAATTTTTGTTAATTTAACATCTTTTTATAAATAAATACTATGTTATCGATGCAAGAAAGTATAATTAAGTATAATATGCAAGAAAGTATAATTAAGTATAATATGCAAGAAAGTATAATTAAGTATAATCGCCCCGATATTTTTCTCGTCTACGTCTCTTCAGGGGGGTAAAGAGGGTTGTATAGAATTTCTCAAAAATGAGAATCTATATCTTGGTTAAATGCACCAAGTAAAATATATGCATATGCCGTGTTTTTCGTTTAAAATTTCGCGTACAATTAAAAAGAATTTTTCAGGCATTTACCATCCTCTGTGGCTCGTAGACGCTAGTTTTCTTATCATGTTATTAAGTATAATAAGTATAATTTTATGTGCATTAGAATCTGCATACTTATACAACACGAAACATTATCTGCAACTACATTACAAATATTTGTTACAAATAAGATTCTGGCCTTGGAAATTGAACTTTAGCCTAACTAATTTATGCTAATAGAATCAAATAATTTAAAGCAGATAACAAATTTTTCACTATAATATAGAAACACATCTTAGAATAGAAATATATCTATCACTATATAAAAACGCATTTTTCTTTGTTGAGTTATTTTCTTTATTGAGTTATTTAGTTTTAAAATTTATATATATATATATATATATATATATATATATATATATAAGATATAGCTTGGAAAAAATTTAATTATTTATTATTATTTATTATTATTTATTATTAAAAATGTTTGTCTTGATATCTCTTTCTTTCCTTCTATCTCCTTCTCTTTCTATCTTTATATCGCTTTGTATAAAATATTTCTTCTTCTTATTAAAATGCTAATCATTTACTTTGAAATACTAATCATCTACTTTAACATTCTATAAGTTTCTGTTAAATCTAAGGATTTTTCTTATTTCTCTTTTATATTTTTATTTAATAATAATTATTAAATATATTATACTATATATAGAATATTATATAGAATTAAATATTATATAGAATATTATATAGAAATATTATATAGAAATTAAATATTATATAGAATTAAATATTATATATATTAAATTAAATATTATATAGAATATTATATTATATATAGAAAGGCACAATTTGATGTCCTTATTTAAATTCCTTATATTCCTATTAGTTTTATATATTTGGAATATTTTTCCTGTTCAATATGGTATTCGTAGTTTCAGTATTCGAGTAAATATTCGTTATCTATTTCTTTACAGCAAATTGACTAAATTTATTAGAAGTTGATTTCTTTACGAATCGGTTTTTGTAAACGATTAATAACATGAGGAAATGTAAATAATTACATATGTTTTTTAAATTAAAATTATCTGACATAATACGATTATTTTAATACATTTAAAAATTCATTTGCAAATAACAGTAATTCTAATTCTAATTCTAATTCTATTATACTATAATTGTGTAATGTATCTTGTGTAATTATAAGCTAGTTGTGTATTTTATATCTAATATAAAATTTTTAGTAAGAAACCGAGAAAGCTTACCGATGAACCTTCAAGCTTCTACGACAGCCTAACTCGGACTGAAAGATCTGTAATTCTAAACAGATTGTTTCCCCTTCCATTATATGGCTATTATTTATCAAGTGTACGCATGTTTGCATGTCATGCTTCATAGATATCTTATCTAAATGTTTGTATTTACAATTATACTTTCTAAAATTTAGATTACCTAAATTTTCTAGGTTTATCTAGATTACTTTATAATTGTTTTATTATCACCTTGAAGACAAATTCGTATAACTAGCTTACAAAATTGTCCAAAATTTACAATTTGTATCCTAGTTACAAAGTAATAAGTAATAAATTGTAATTAATGTTTCTAAAAAAGAAAAAAGAACATAATCAAGAAACACTCACGTAAACACTTATGTAAAAAGTTTTTTTTTTCAATAAATACAAAACTCAAGAGGTTCAAAACTATTAAAAATTGCTAAGCACTATTAGAAAATCAGGTGTTTAAATACATAGATAAAATCAAACTATTATTCAAGTAATTGTTTGTTAATCTAAAAATCAATATATTAAACGATTTCTATAGTTTATATAAAACATGTTTGTGTTTTAATTAGTGCATTGATCATAATTCATATATTCTACAAAAATCTGAAATATTTTAATGATACATTGTGCAATGTGCAATTATTTCAAACTTTGCAATTTTAACTCCAGATTTTAGGCAACTATAGATTTTATTGCTTGTTTTAAATTACATATTAAATCTTATCTAATCTATTTTAAATCTTTTAAATCTGCATTTTCATCATCATTTTTTATTATATAATCAACTGTAATATAATTACTTGTATGCTTATATAACTTGATAACTAAATGTTAGAATTAAAATTTTTATTGTTATTAAGAGTGACTGAAAGTGTAAAAGTATTTTGATTATATCGTTAGAGTTTATCTAACTGAAAACTTTCTCAATGTAAAAACATTTTTGAACAGTATTTATTGTTGGTTATAAATAAAACTGAAACATAATCTGCAGTATATAAAACTCAAGGTCTGCATTTAATATTTAATATATATATATATATATATATATATATATATTGATATATTATATATATATATATATATATATATATATATATATATATATTGATCGGTACATAAATGTCAATTATTTGGATTGATCGTATCTAAAATCCGAATATAATGTGTACAATTAAAGCAAATTAAAAGCTGAAGTTATGTAGTATGGATTTATTATTATTATTATTATTAAAACTACATATTTATTATTATTTTTATTACTTTTATACATATTATATATACATATGTTGATATGTATGTATACAATAGTATATAAGTTTATTAGAAGAGAGCTATTATATACATATATGATTCAATTAATTGATTGAAGACAATTCAAAATTTCATTGTATCGATCTTCTACTTTCATATTTAGAATAACCGTTTTGATACACTCACACAATATGTTTTAATTTCAAAAATTCTGATTTTCTATATTGATTTTACCATATGACAAATAGATTACTATAAAATCATAATACATGCGTAATCAATCTCCTTTTATAGTTTTTTCAAAATACTCAAGTAAAAAAATTATTAAATTATTAAATTATTAAATGATAAGAAAGGGATGATATATTATTTATAATTATAAATTAGATTATTATAAAGAATTTGAGGGTAAACTTTATTTATCTCTTATGTGAATATTTCTAGATTTATCATCGATAATATAGATATTATTTTTAAGTTCTTATGGTAATAGATTGATTTATCTTATTATGATATACATTTGTAGTTATCGGCAAATTTATCTTGCTGCTAGCTAGAGATTGAAGTTACCAGACATTGATCAAATAACAACAAGCAAATCTAATTAAAATTGCACATGTTAAAAAATTATTTGATGGATTATTGCCTCCTTTCAAAACAATGATGTTATGATGCGTAATTGTATTTTTGAATTCTTCTGTACTTGTTTATATATTTCTTTTATTTTTTCAGTGTAAAGATTGTAAATATAAATAGATTTTTTATTTTAAATGTAGAAAAGTATATATATCAAAAACTAACAAAACTTAGAAAGAAAGTTTAATCGACTTATATTAATTCAAAGTTGTGTAAAATATGTGAATATAAATACGTAATAAATTTTAAATGTAAACAAAATTGAAATTGTGTATGTATAAGCGCATTAGTTATACATATCTTATAGAGAGAAATTATATACATCGAATATAAGATTATTTATGTCAACTGTATTCTTATATTTTCTAACATATATTTCTTTTGTAATAGAAGAATGTCTAAAATTATATATCTAGATATAGCAAAAATGTGTTAAAATTATGCAACTAAGTTTTTCGAAAAATTACATTTATCTTAAACTTCTGTAGCAAACTTTTGCATGACTAAAAGACTTGTTTTTCTTTCTATGTATTTTCTGTTTATCATACTTTATATCTAATTCAATCTCTAATCTAATCTCTGATCTGTCACATTATTTAACTCCACTACGAAATTCTAGCCTAAGGAAAGTAGGACAGGAAGTGACATATGCGTAGAACTTTGAAAACACACTCGATAAAGATCAACGAACAATTTTTATTCGATCCTTTGTTATCTTACAAAAATAAGAATTTAAAGAAGAGCAACCATGAATGCTTCAAGCATACTACACGCAAAATAAGAAAAGAAAAAAAATTTAAATCACACATACATAAAGCGTAAACAGGAACGACCTTTCATAATACATTGTATGAATTATAAGAGGAATATCATTTTCACAAAATGTCCATATTTAACCCTTCTTCTCTTCCTTCTTCTTCTCTTCCTTCGACTTCTCCTGAATGGCAGGCTTGCCGGTATGTTCGATCTTGATCGAGCGCTCGTTCTTCGTCTCCGACTTCTCCTTCCTGGGCGCGGTGATGGTCAACACGCCGTCCGATGACAGGCTCGATGACACCTCCTCGATGTTGCATTGCTCAGGTATCATGTACTTGCGTACAAACTGACGCGAGATCCAGCCGTGCTCATCCTGCTTCTCCTCATGTTTGGCTTCGACTATTACGCACTTATCCACAACCTTGACGTTGATCTCCTCCGGCTTGAATTGTTGCACGTCCAAAATTACCTGGAACTTGTCCTTGTCGGCTTTCACGGTAGACGTGCCGCCTTCGGTGCTATTGCGCAATAACTCGCCCCAAGGTCGATAGTAAATTAAAGGTCTCGCACGCCGGGGATCGCGTTGACTGAAGCGTTCCAAGATGCTCGGATGCGCCAGTTGATCCGGGCGAATACCCAGGCCGAAGTGCTGGTCGAAGAGCCGATGAGGATACTCCAGGTCTTCCCACCAGTCGGAGAACAATAGCGGTACCAGAGACATATTGGAGTTGCTTCTTCTCTCGGAAAGTCTTGGAGAAAATTGGCAGATGAGCCGAACTAGAAGCTTCGATTCGCTCTCGCAGACTCGCTGTTCAATTCGCGATTGCTCGCTGTCAACTGTTGCTACGCCGGCGCACACCGGCGCATTTATAGCGAGCCGGCTCGCGCGAATGAGTGTGTGCGTGCGTGTGTGTACGTCGCATCGACCGTTGTACGTCGGGGAACCGCGAGAATGTTCCCGAGCCGGCATCGGACGTATTCGAGAACGAGCTTCTAATTTCTCGATTACGTTTATGCGTTCGTTCCCGGTTATATTTTTGTCCGATGACAGATTAGAGCCTTGATTCCTTCGCGTTCATTCTTCTCGTTACCGGTTCTTTCCCTCATCCGCATATGTATCATTAAACGATATTCAAACTATTGGAGTGTGTTGAATTCAAATTTCGACGCTCTAGCAGAGAGAAAATAATCTTTAAGCGTTATTCGTGATAACATATTTCGCGATTTTAATTTGTAATATTAATCGGAAAACGTGTGTGTTTTTTCCTTTAATTTCGATTTAAAAGTTATGTAAAGAAGTAAACAAATTTTTTGATTCAATCAATACTTATTACATATTAAATGCAGAAGATGAGAAAGAAAATAATTAGACACTAGAAAAAAATTAATCTTACGATTTTACACATTAAAATTAATTAATGATGGAAAATCGCTTCTATTTATATAATCTATTACAAAAATTTCATCTTATTGAGGCTAAGAAGCTTACAAAAAGAAATTGTAAAATTATAAAAAAGATTGTATATAAAGTTCTTTTAATGTATATTATAATTATATATTAAAGTAATTATATTTAATATCGAGCAACGTATGTATGTTCCCGAACCGGCATCGGACATATTCGAGAACGAGCTTCTAATTTCTCGATTACGTTTATGCGTTCGTTCCCGGTTATATTTTTGACCGATGACAAATTCCGTTAGAGCCTTGATTCCTTCCCGTTCATTCTTCTCGTTATCGGTTCTTTCCTTCATAAATCCCTCATAATATAATCAAAATTATATATTGTAGAGTATAAAATAATTTTATTTCATCAATTATCACATAATTATCATATAATTCAATATTTATCCATGTACATGTTATTGTATAATCGTTTAGTCAGGATAGATGTTTTATCCTTAAATTATTTAATAATTTGTTAGAAATTATTAAAAAGAAATAATCAAGTAAATCAATCTTGTAAGAATCGATTGATGCTACGAATTGCGTTGTAGACGTTATTATCGAGAAACATGCAACGTTCTTGTTATATCCAGTAAAATGATTCTGGTTACGTCTACGTTAAAAGAAACATACAGTTAACTGCAAGAATACAATATGGTACAAGTCTAATAAATTTTTAATATTTCAAAGACTATATCTTACTCACTGCTTTTGCAGAATTTTTCAATGTTTTTTCTTTTTGAGTCTTTTTATACAACTGTGATTTATATGCATTTATATTATTATTATTAGTGCGTATATTATCGCTTTAAGTATTATTTTTAATTTAACTTGTAATTAATATAACACACATTAATTTTAATTTTAATTTTTATATAATTTAAATTCTTTAAATTATTTAATCATTTATTTTATTTATATTACAATTTATTTGCAATATATTTTTATTTACAATATATATTATATATAGTTAATTATGCACGAATAGTATATGTTATCACGAAAAATAATTTAAAATATCATTATTAAGTATGAAAAATCCTTTGTTTAGAAACGAGAGTATTTGGAATATGAGGATGTGTGATTGTCAATATATAAATTTGCTAATTGCACCGCTTTTGCATTCAGTTGCTGTTTTAAATATAATGCGCTAAAAATATTCTCATCATCTTTAACAAAATGTAAAGTAACGTCAAGATAGATATAAATTGATAAAACGCACGATTAAGATACACAACACGATATGATATGAAACAATATTCTTTTATAATATATAATTTCACTTACATTAAAACTATAACGACATATAATAATACGTTTATACTTATGGAAGTAAATATATAAAATATATATAAAAGATATTTGTGTCGTAGCGTATTGTGTTGTATCGTCACTGTTATATAATAGTGAATCATAAAATAATTCTTTACTTTGTAAAAGTGATGTTAATCATAGTTTGGATTTCCCTTAGGTAAGATTGCTTTGATATGATGATATATATATATATATATATATATATATATATATATATAATATGTACTGTTATTTTATAAAATACAATTGCACATTTGCAAAACTGGAGAATAATGTATACTTATAATTAAATACATTTATGTAAATATATATATATATATATATATATATATATATTTATTTATATCTATATATATACATGCACATTCACACACATATACATATATGTGTATGTGTGTACTACTTAGAATTTTATTAGGACTGATTAAAGTATATTACATTAAACATTTATAAATATGGATTAAATAAAATAATTTCTTATTTCATTTTTCATAAAATAGCAATATTCAGAAAATTTATAAATAAAGTTTAAATAAATTTATAAATAAAGTTTCTTTGATATATTCTCTTTCTCTTTAGTCTTTTTCCAACTTTTTTTAATCTTTAATGTTTAATCTTAAATGTTTAAATTGCAACAAAATTAAATATATCCACATATTTGCATACAATTGAAATTTATTACACAAATATATATCGTGAATTAATGATATTTTATTCTTCACGCGACAAATAATCATAGTAATGTATTTACATTGCGGCCAAGTCTAATTTGATATCAACAAAGTATATTTATAGTACTTACTCATGGTAAAACTGCAAGGTCAGGATCTGTACAACCACGCACATTATGCTATTTATATCTATTTTTGTTTTCTTATGTCTAGTGTAAGATCAATTTTTTTTAAATATTAAAACTAATGTGATGTTATTATGTTGGCTGCGCGACATGTAATACGTATTAATATTTATTGCTTCTAACAATGCTACATTTGAACATCCTGTTTTAAAATCGTATTATACATGACAACTTTTTAATTTGCATATCTTTAATAATTTATAAGATATTTTTTCACATAATAGCAATTTATATTTAATAATAAAATTAAAAAATATATTTAAAATAAAAGATATTCAAATAGGAAGAAAAAGAGATATATTTTTAAATTGGATTAAAACTGTAGGATAAAGTTGAAAATAAACAAACATTATTAAATCAATATAATTTTACTACGTTTCAATAAGTTTTGAACATACAAGTCATCAATATTATATATAAAATATTTTTAAAACCTATTATAAAATATGATATCGTGATATAAATTTTTATAAGAAGCATATTAAGAAAAGATGCAAATGCTTAAGTACAATGCTGTTTGTTATATAAAATTGTAAAAAAAATTTGTTTTACAGGTACAGGTCTATCTGATGCAGATATATATACACAAACTGTTAATATAAAATATATAATATTAGTAATTTTATAATTTTCTTTTCTCCACTTTTAATAAATTCTTTATCTACTATAAATATCTACTATAAATAATAACAAAGTTAATTATAAAAGATGCTATATAAAGATTTTAATTTGAATTATGTTTATACATGTATGTTTTCTAACAATAAATATGTTATTTTAAAAACTATATTTTACAAGAATTATTATGATAATTCTATAAAAAATTATGAAAGAATAAACAAAATTAACAAGAAAATATACTGTTTAAAGATATTGTTTTAATTATTTATAAACTTTTTTGTTTAGAATATAATATTCTAATATTATATATTTTACACATCTTTATTGTTACAATTAGTTATATATCATCTTTTTAATTACAAAATTAAATATTAAAATCAAACTTCTTATGTCAGTCGCTGAAGAAAAGAATTCTACAATTATACTATTAGATCTTATAATAATTAATTAAAGAAATAAAAAGATATCTATAGACATCCATATATTGTACATATAAGTATATATCTATCTATTATTTGAAATTAGTAAGGCAATATTTACCATTATGAATGAAATATAATATTTATCATTATAAAAAATAAGATAATATTTACCATTTGTACTTAAATATTAGCTTCTGTACTTTACCATTTGTACTTTAATATTAGCATTTGATCCTCATAATACAGAAATTATTATAAAAAAAATTATTATAAAAAAAGAAAGAAGAAAAGTTTGATAAAAGTTTTAAAGTTATTTTGAAATGTATCTTTTACAATTCATCCTTGCCTTTTATAATTGCCCAATCCTCTTTGATCAAGTCTGCGCCTTTCTCGCCTATCATTATTGTAGGCGCATTTGTGTTTCCACTAGTAATTGTCGGCATAATGGATGCATCGATCACTCTTAATCCCTGTATACCATGGACTTTTAATCGTGGGCTTACAACAGCTGTGGGATCGCTTTGAGGGCCCATCTTGGTCGTTCCAACAGGATGATAAATTGTAAACGACATATGTCGCAAATTACACTTCCAGTATTCCTCGGAATCAGGTTCAGTATCACGGCAATCCGCAATATCTAAATGATGCAATCTTATTCCATGTCGTTTAAATGTCTCCGTATTCAACATCTTCTTCACAATGTCCAAAGATTTTAACATCGTGTCCATATCCTCTTGTACAGAATAATAATTGGCGAAGATTCTGATTCGATCTACTGGATCTTTGCTACGTAGTCGCAATTCGCCTGTGCTCTTCGGCTTTAGCAGAACAGGTACAGGAGCGAGTATTGACTTATCTGTTAACAATTTTACTATATCTTGACTTATTTCTTTGTTTATGTAGAACTGCACTAGTGAAGCGAATGCTTTATCCATTTGGCCTTGTAAAAAATGAATATGATGAAACTGAATGTTTGGATACTTGGAGCTCGAATCATGTACGTTGACGAACCCATGAAGATCATAAGCTGCGCTAGTTGCGAAGGGACCTCGATTATAAATTAAATACTCGTAAGCCTCATCCAATAAATACGTGGGTGAAAATATTGCGCTGTGGTTTTTGAAATCCAAGAATATGCCGGTCCATCTAAGATGATCCTGAAGATTCTGGCCGACAGGTAAATCAACGACATTAGGTATTCCCATTTCATATAAATGCTGCTTGGGTCCGATACCGGAAAGCATAAGAAGTTGGGGACTGCCTATGCTGCCCGCTGACAAGATCACCTCTTTCGAGGCTTTTACGTCGATTGACCTTCCGTCCTTCAAAGTTACGCGTACTCCAACGGCTCGAGTACCATCGAGGAGAATGGCGTCGGCTCGAGTCGATTTCATTACGTAGAGATTGCTTCTATCTTTAATTGACGACAGGAAAGCTTTCGAAGTGCTCATTCTGCGACCTTTATCCAAAGTGCCTTGGGCTACACCGTATCCGATAAATTTCTCGCCATTATTAATTACGTCCAAAATAGGTATGTCCATTTCGCGAGCGGCATCTAGAACCATTTCAAATACGTCCGGATTAGTATAGTTGAAATACCTGATATTTAAAGGTCCGTCATGACCACAGTATTTGCTCCTCCATTCGTCACTATGTCCATGACCGCAAGATTGCGATTTCTTGAAATATGGGAGAACTTCGTCATAACTCCATCCTTCGTTTCCCATTCGAGACCATTCGTTGTAATCCTCGTCATTGCCCATAATATAGAGCATAGCATTTAAAGTAGAGCTGCCGCCGAGAGCTTTCCCTTTTGCCCATTTGCACAATTTGTTTTTGCTACCGTGACAAGCAAATTTTTCGGGTTCAACATCGTATGAATAATCTATCGGTGAGTCTATTTGCATCAAAAAGGCCCCGGGAATCTCATTAAGTACAGAGGGATTATCGCCAGCTTCGATTAACAGTATTTTCCAATCTTCTACTTCGGTTAAACGATTGGCCACCACAGATCCAGCGCTTCCACTACCAACAATTATAAAGTCAAATTCTATATTAGAAGCCGCAATTTCTTCTGAACGATCTGGAGGGTAAATATCACTGGCTAAGCTACATTGCGCTGCTAGAAGCGTTTGCACTAGGTATGGAAAGATATTAGCAGGAGAGCTGTTTATTGCAGCCGCACAACTAGCAGTCAAGCATGCTTCCATAATTCAGGTGAAACGATTTACCTGCCAAAAAAAAACAACATTTTTTAATACTTAATTTATCACTAGAATGCATATACAAATGAACGTACAAGTAAGAATTAATTAAATCTAAGAATAAAGATATAAGAATAAAGCTATATAATTTGTTTAAATATTATTTTGTCTACGATTTTATATATAAGAAAATTAGTTTGATTTTGTAATGAAAATATCTTCAGTTACTTATCTTCAATAGTAAATAATAAACATATATGCATAACTAGAGAGAGAGAGAGAGAGAGAGAGAGAGAGAGAGAGAGAGAGAGAGAGAGAGAGAGAGAGAGAGAGAGAGAGAGAGAGAGAGATGGTTATGCATATATGTTTATTATTTACTATTGAAGATATGTAACTAAAGATATTTTCATTACAAAATCAAAATAATTTTCTTATATATAAAATCATAGACAAAATAATATTTAAAAAAAATTATATTACTTAAATTATACTAAATAAATATAATATACTATAATAAATTAATATAATATACTATAAAATTAATATAATATACTATAATAACCGAGCAAAATTCTAATGATTTTGAAAACATAATATGAGAATAATTTTTCTTAAGATACTTGAAACATTAGGAACACGTTGTTAAGAAAACAAGAAAATATTCATCACATTACTAAATATTTTTACGTATAAAATAAGGAAAAATAAAAAATAGAAAGCAAATCCTATCTCGATTACAATCCAATGAATTATGAATTATCTCTTATGTGTTTATAATTTCTTATTAATTACGTGTTTATAACTTCTTATGACTCTATTAATATGTTAGGATCTAATTAAGATATATCTATATGTTAGAATTAATTAAAATATTATAAAATATAAAAAAATAATTTTACAAATTAGAGGCTTTTATTTTATTTTTTTTTTTTAAATATTCTTTTTCTCCTCCGATATTTGATTTATATTTTCAAAGCATCGATATCAATATTAATAGCAATGTTTTCTCAGTTCTGTTGTAAGTCTATTAATTGTAAGAATAATTGTTACAATTTAATCAATCTAAAATAAAATATTAAATTTCAAAACAACTTATTCTTAGAAATCTTTATTCTAAGATATATCTATATGTTAGAATTAATTAAAATATTATATATATATATATATATATATATATATTATATATATTATATATATATATATATATTGTTACGGCCCTGATGTCCGTGTTCGTCGGGATGACGCTGATTTACGATTTTTAATACACAACAATATATATATATATATATATATATATATATATATATATATATATATATATACAGGGTGAGGCATCTAAAACAGGCCACCTGAATAACTCCGTTGGTAAGCCGAATATAAAAAAATTGTTCAGACAAAAGTTGTATGGTTTCAAGGGGGACATATGATGGTGTCATTAGTTTAATCTTGAAGAGCCACCCGAAGGTCACGTGAAGGTCAGCTCCAACTTTTTAAATGGGACACCTTATATGCTTTTGCATATTCTTGTAGCTCATCTCAAGAGCTTTCCAAAACACTACAATTATGTTAGTTTTCATTAAATACTTTCCAAGTTATGAGGCTTGAAATCATTTTTTAATTTTACATAAACCGTAAAATATCTTGTAAAATATTCATTTTTCGATTATTTTACCTTAATACTTTTATGTACAAAATAATGAGAAAAATCAATTGGTGTAAAGAAAACACATAATTGCTTCGAACAAAAAAATGTAATTGTTAATTGCAAATTACATTTTTTTGTTCGAAGCAATTATGTGTTTTCTTTACACCAATTGATTCTTCTCATTATTTTGTACATAAAAGTATTAAGGTAAAATAATCGAAAAATGAATATTTTACAAGATATTTTACGGTTTATCTAAAATTAAAAAATGATTTCAAGCCTCATAACTTGGAAAGTATTTAATGAAAACTAACATAATTGTAGTGTTTTGGAAAGCTCTTGAGATGAGCTACAAGAATGTGCAAAAGCATATAAGGTGTCCCATTTAAAAAGTTGGAGCTGACCTTCACGTGACCTTCGGGTGGCTCTTCAAGATTAAACTAATGACACCATCATATGTCCCCCTTAAAACCATACAACTTTTGTCTGAACAATTTTTTTGTATTCGGCTTACCAACGGAGTTATTCAGGTGGCCTGTTTTAGATGCCTCACCCTGTATATATATATATACAGGGTGAGTCAAAAGTATGCGGGTGTGTCAAAAATTTGCGTGTTTCTGGATAAAAAAGAAGAACAAACGTTCATATAACCATATAATCGCAAATGCTCCGTTATAGAAATAATGAACGTATAATAAATTAGCAGTATCAAGTAATGATTTACTTGAACGCTTACAGTTTTGTTGTTCTTTCAAAACATGCCTGAGCACGACGTCTACATGACTGGCGCACTCGTTCGAAAACATCAGGATTTCCACGGATCATCTCGCAAGAATTATGGACTCGTGTCCATAGGTCATCTTCATTGTTGATTGATGTTTGATAGATCATTCTCTGGATGTTGAAACGACGTTCTTAAAAATGAAGGACACGTAGAGCATCTCTTATAAAGAACAATAAAACTGTAAACGTTCAAATAAATTATATTATATTTTGATATTGCTAATTCATGTCTATTATTTCGATAACAAAGCGTTTGCGACTATATGCTCATATAAATATTTGTTCTTCTTTTTTATCCAGGAACACGCTCACAAATTTTTAATACATACTTTTGATTCACCCTATATATATATATATATATATATATATATATATATAAGATAAGATATAATTTTATATTCAAACTCATAATATTACAAATAACATTACATTAAAAAGATTCAAAAATATATTCAGTAATCAATTATATATATATATATATATATATATATATATATATATAATTGATTACTGAATATATTTTTGAATTTTTTTACGTAATGTTATTTGTAATATTATGAATTTGAATATAAAATTATATCTTATCTTATTATATTATATATATATAATTGATTACTGAATATATTTTTGAATCTTTTTACGTAATGTTATTTGTAATATTATGAGTTTGAAGTTGATATAAAATTATATCTTATCTTATCTTGTCTTTTCGGTTCAAATAACATAATGATCTTTTCTCGTGTTTCATGATTCAGCCAAATTTTCTCTTACTTTTATCAAACAAAATATTTTTTAGTCTATCAGTATTTTTTCAGTATATTCGTAAATACTTTAAAAGTTCTTAATTTTTTACACATCTGAGTGAAAAAATAAAAATTGAAAATTAAAATATTTTATTAAAATAATATTTTAAAATTTATAATTGTCTAAAGAATTTGCTAGCCATTAACAGTTTAAAAAATTATTTTGAAAGAAAGTTCTTCAATTACTTATAATTCACTGTCTATTAATATTTCAACATATCAATAGATATTATAAATATATATATCTTTGTAAAAAGATATATTTCAACTTTTGCACTTTAACGAGTAAAAAAACGATATATATGTGTGTGTGTGTGTGTGTGTGTAAAACTAGATTCTAGATTTTCATGTAACCTTAGCACACTTTTACACCAAGGTCAAACTAATATCTTTATCTTTTTTCCTCCTTTAACTCTATTTATTTTTGTCTGAAACATTTTCCATGAAAATGTATCATTAATAGATATTCAAGGTGGCCAATTATAATCCTGTATGTAATTGAGAATATTCTTAATAAACTGATTATTAAAATTAATGAGAGAAAGTCTTATTTTTAAATATATATTAATCAGAACTTTTCTTTGTTATTTTAAAGAATTTTTAATACTTGATTTTTCAAAATTTTGTTTAATATATCTTGAAATTTATATTAAGACAACCACATACTATATAGAAAGATTGATAAGAAATAGTAGTTGAAAAAAATAGTAAAAGTATAGATTGTTAAAATTTTGAAAGGTATGGACAACTTTCTAATAGTTCACGGATAGCCAGTATAGCAATGAAAAACTATTAGACACTCATACATTTTTATTACCTTATCAACTATACACCTACGTGTGAAATATTTTATAAATATTATTATTTATAAAATATTATTTTGTATATAATTATTTATTTTGTAACCTCTGTTAAATCTGTGTTACTTTACTTACACGTATATTTAAAGTATTTAAAACATATATGTAAGGTACATATACGTAAATCGTTAAATATTTATTTTATTAATATATTTTTAGTAATAATATATTTTTCAGTATTACAATACAGTTCTTAATTTTTTTCACTTTGAATGCAATATTTTTCAGTATATAAACTTATATGAACGTTTAAATTCTTTCGACAAATTAGAAAAAAATAATATTACATATTTTTTAGATTTATGTGAATTAATAAATCTGTAAAAATGTAATATGATTTTTCTTAATTTGTTAAATAAATTTAAATTTATACGACTTCCAATTAATATAACATATTTTTATAAATAAATACTATGGTATCGATGCAAAAAAGTATAATTTTTTGCGCATTAGAATCTGCATACTTATACAACACGAAACACTATCTGTATTGTTACATTGCAAATATTTATTACAAATGAAATTCTGGCCTTGGAAATTGCACTTTAGCCTAACTAATTTATGCCAATAGAATCAAATAATTTAAAGCAGATAACAAATTTTTCACTGTAATATAGAAGCACATCTTAGAATAGAAATATATCTATCACTATATAAAAACGCATTTTTCTTTGTTGAGTTATTTTCTTTATTGAGTTATTTAGTTTTAAAATTTATATTTATATATATATATATATATATATATATATATATATATAAGATAGCTTGGAAAAAATTTAATTATTTGTTATTAAAAATGTTTTTCTTGATATCTCTTTCTTTCCTTCTGTCTCCTTCTTCTTTCTATCTTTATATCGCTTTGTATAAAACATTTTTTGTTCTTATTGAAATGCTAATCATTTATTTTGAAATGCTAATCATCTACTTTAACATTCTGTAAGTCTCTGTTAAATCTAAGAATTTTTCTTGTTTCTTTTTTATATTTTTATTTAATAATAATTATTAAATATATTATACATAGAATATTATATATAGAATATTATATATAGAATAGTATATTATATATAGAAAGGCACAATTTAATGTGTCCTTATTTAAATTCCTTATATTCCTATTAGTTTTATATATTTGGAATATTTTTTCTGTTCAATATGGTATTCGTAGTTTCAGTATTCGAGTAATTATTCATTATCTATTTCTTTACAGCAAATTGACTAAATTTACTAGAAGTTGATTTCTTTACGAATCGGTTTTTGTGAGCGATTAATAACATGAGGAAATATAAATAATTACATATGTTTTTTAAATTAAAATTATCTGACATAATACGATTATTTTAATACATTTAAAAATTCATTTGCAAATAACAGTAATTCTAATTTTAATTCTAATTCTAATTCTATTATACTATAATTGTGTAATGTATCTTGTGTAATTATAAGCTAGTTGTGTATTTTATATCTAATATAAAATTTTTAGTAAAAAACCGAGAAAGCTTACCGATGGACCTTCAAACTTCTACGACAGCCTAACTCGGACTGAAAGATCTGTAATTCTAAACAGACTGTTTCCCCTTCCATTATATGGCTATTATTAATCAAGTGTACCAATGTTTGCATTGTCATGCTTCATAAATGTCATGCTTCATAAATATCTTATATAAATGTTCAATTATACCTTCTAAAAGTTAGATTACCTAAATTTTCTAGGTTTTACCTAGATTATTTTATAATTGTTTTATTATCACTTTGAAGACAAATTCTATAATATAACTAGCTTCTATAGTATAACTAGCTTACAAAATTGTCCAAAATTCACAATTTATATATTAGTTACAAAGTAATAAGTAATAAATTGTAATTAATGTTTCTAAAAAAGAAAAAAGAACATAATCAAGAAACACTCACGTAAACACTTATGTAAAAAGTTTTTTTTTCAATAAATACAAAATTCAAGAGGTTCAAAAGTATTAAAAATTGTTAAGCACTATTAAAAAATCAGGTGTTTAAATACATAGATAAAATCAAACTATTATTCAAGTAATTGTTTGTTCATCTAAAAATCAATATATTAAACGATTTCTATAGTTTATATAAAACATGTTTGTGTTTTAATTAATGCATTGATCATAATTCATATATTCTACAAAAATCTGAAATATTTTAATGATACATTGTGCAATGTGCAATTATTTCAAACTTTGCAATTTTAAACTCCAAATTTTAGGCAACTATAGATTTTATTTCTTTTTTTAAATTACATATTAAATCTTATCTAATCTATTTTAAATCTTTTAAATCTCCATTTTCATCATCATTTTTTATTATATAATCAACTGTAATATAATTAATTGTATGCTTATATAACTTGATAACTAAATGTTAGAATTACAATTTTTATTGTTATTAAGAGTGACTGAAAGTGTAAAAGTATTTTGATTATATCGTTAGAGTTTATCTAACTGAAAACTTTCTCAATATAAAAACATTTTTGAACAGTATTTATTGTCGGTTATAAATAAAACTGAATCATAATCTGTAGTATATAAAACAGAATAAACGCAATAAAATAGTAATTTATGCAGACCATGCATATACTTGGTATTTTAGGTGAAATATATAATTAGTTTATGTTTTTAACAAAAAAAGAAGACATACTTTCAAGCATAACAATCATCGAAATTTGTTTTGAGTGTATAAATTTTTCCTTGTTTTTTGTGTTTAATCTTCTTTGGCAAGAATTGTTGTTTCTTGCCATGTTGCAATTGTTATTGTGCTAATGATTGTCGGCATAATAAATGATTTTTAATGTCTACTTTGTGAATTTTTAACCAAAGATTTACGGCTATTTTTTATTGTTTCACATAGAAGATAATTTATCAAGATAATACTATCAAAAGATAATATTATCAAGAAAAATAATTTTTTTATATCCTACTTATATAAAAAACAATGCTATGTTTTATCAAATAAATATCTGTTAAATTTTATAGACAAAAATAATTAAATTCAAATTTTTCTCAAAATTGTTCTTTCATAGTTTGTCTTTTTTATTTTTAAAATATTTATATGCAGAATATCTTCTTCAGAACAATCGAAAATAGCATAAAACTATTATTTTTTTCTTGTATAATTATTAGTTTTTATAGCATTAAAATTATGAAATGTTTTATATACGTTCATACCATATAGTCTTTTTATATTATATCAATACACAATTTATGTAATCAAATTGATGTAATTAAATTATATCTATAACTATATAGATGTTTTCTCTCTATGTGTGAATTTTATAATTTCTAATTTATTCTTTTTAATTTGTAATTTTTAATTAAGTTTATTATTTTTATTATTTTTATTATTTTTAAGCGTTTCTCGGATTTTATTCTTCTTCAAAATTTTTTCAAAACAAGTATTAAAGATTTTATCTATTTTTTAAAATATATTTAAACAAGATCATTAGATCTTCGATTTCTAAAATAATTATAATGGGATAAAAATGATATAAAAAATTATCTATTTTTTCTATGTAAAGCAATTATGTTTTTTTGTGTATGATCATATTTAGAGAAAACAGCTATATGATATTCGATCAGAAAATTGTATTATTAATTGTAGTAAATAAAATAAAATAAATAAAATTGTGAATGACACTTTTATAATATTTACATTTATTATTTAAATTATTTCCTCTTAAATTATTTTTCCTCTTGCATATATTAAAATATATAACTGGAAAAAAATTTTCTAATATAAATATTAAAATTCTTGATGCTAAAAATGCCATGTATATACATATGTATTAATTAATACATATGTATAAAGTACGCATATGTATGCAAATTAAGAAATAATAAATCTTTGCCAAATGGCATATGTCTAGTAATACTAAAGAAAATATTTCAGATATTAAAGTTTAAAAAATTTCTTTATTATTTTTTTATTTTTTGACTTGTTTTTTTCTTTTTATTCTGTTGATTTTATTCAGATTAAATTATATCGCTTAATTATTGTAATAATTCCTATCTGTATGATTGAAAATACTAGTCGAAATTGAATAAAATTCTATTAATGTTATCACCAAAGCAATAATTGAAAGTAAAATAAGTAGATTAAATAACATGTGAATAATTTTAATCAAAAATTATTGCCCCAACGTTCTAAGAATTTTTTTGGCTCTAAAATGGATTAATAAATGTTTTAAAGTTTATGTTCGAAATGCAAACTTTTTATTTGTAGATACATATTCGCTCTGGGGATAAGATTTTTTTGTATAGTTGAACCATTTCTGATGTGACGATTGCTATTGCACAATAAAGCGCTTATTCCTTAGCTTAAAGTGATTTAAAAAAATAATATTCAGATGCAATTTTGTCAAAGGAAAAAGTTGTTTTTTTTAGCATGAACTATCATGCTGTGCATTCCGCATTCGCGAATTCTGGTAAATTCTGTTTTGTGTACATACACATATATATATATATATATATATATATATATATACTGTTTTTTATTATTTATTAAGTATAAACTCATATTTCTGCCTTTTTGTACAGTCATTACTCTTATGTATGATTTTATATTTATTCTGAAATTATTTTATGCACATAAATTATTTTTTTTCTGCATATAAAAGAAAAAGAATTAAGATTATTATATAACAAGATTTTAAAATAAGATTAAAAATACAAAATGTTTTTTATACATATATATGTTTATATATGTATAAAAAATATATGTGAAAATATATGTGAAAATTTTCTATTTCTTAATCTTATTTTAAAATCTTGTCATAATAATCTTAATTTCTTTTCTTCTATATACAGAAAAAATAAATTATTTATGTGCGTAAAATAATTTCGAAATAAATATAAAAGCATATATGAGTGATAACTATACTTACATTAAAAAAGTACAAATATGAGTTTATACTTAACAGATAATAATAGTTTGATATAAAATGATAATTATGTTAATTTTAATGATAATGTATATAGAGAGAATAAGTTTGCATACACGTGAATAATTGCAAGATGAATATTATGTAGTAATAGAAACAAGAAATGCCATAACTATATAAAAGATAGACTAGAAATGTAAAATTCCTTAAGAGATAATAATTTGATATAAGATGACAATAATGTTAATTTCAATAATTTTTATTTTATAAATCCATAATAAATAATTGCAGCTCCATTATACATCAATCTTACAATGTATAATTAATCTTCTATGTTCCACTTAATTTTATATTGATTAAAGTAACGTGTAATTTTAGGTTTTCTAACAGTCATTTCTCTTAACAAACTTAAATAAAAATATTTCATAATATAACCTTGAACTAAATATAAAATAGAAAACGTACAATACAAATTAATGTGATATGTAGGTGATTAATGAATTGTATCGCATTCACACAAATCTAGTCATTTCCTTATAAATAGCAAATGTTATTGTTATAATATACTAAACTATATAACAAGAAATGTTTATATATATATTGAATTTTAACATAAATAAATTTTACATAAATATATTCTATAATATATATATACCTAAGAATGCTCTCGGAATGTAATTATAATATTATTATCTGTACCATTTTAGCTTATACATTATAGACATTTTAAGTTGCAAAAATCTACATTACAAACAAAATAGCTTATTATATGATCGCAGCCTAATAATTAAAGATATATAGAAATAATTTAATGAGCAATATGCCTAAATGAAATGCTAATTTTTCACTCTGTCTGCTTCTCTTCCTCGCTTTGTTTGGGTTTCTTTTCTCGCGGTTTGTTGATGAAAGGTTTCCCAGTACGTTCAATCTGGACTGTTCTCTCTGTCTCTTCCTTCAATGGTCGTTTCTTAGGCGCAATAATCATTAGAAGACCATCGGAGGACAATTTGGATGTAAGCTGTTCCACATTAGAGTCCTCTGGCAACTTGCATTTCCTGACAAACTGACGAGACACCCAACCATGCTCGTCTCGCTTTTCCTCATGCTTAGCTGTGATGACGAGAAAATTATCCACAATCTTCACCTCGATTTCATGCGGCTCAAACTGCTGCACATCCAATACTACTTGAAAGTCATCCTTATTCACGGGAGGAGAGACAGTTGGACCGTTGCTTTCGCGTTGTTGCATTAATTCCACCAGAGTTTTGAGCTGATCCAGGGTGGGATGTCGTCGCGGTGCCAAATCCAGATAGAGGCTAGTGTTAGTTCTAGTCGGTGACGATAGCTGTTCTGGCCGTAGCCTCAGAGTGAAGTTTTGTTCTAGCGGACTATAAGGATCTAGATCCTCCACCCATTCGGACAACAACAATGGGATCAAAGACATTTTCTCGCTTTGACGTTGATCTATAAAATATAACATATATTAAAACATTGGTTTAATATACATAATAATATAAATTAACAATATATTAGGTACTTACATAAATATTAGGTGAATACGATGAATAAATTTGCTCTTAATTCGTGTTATAGAATTCACAATACAACCGTGTATATCGTATTACCACAGTACAACTGCGTATATTTGTTATAGAACGTATATTTGTAATAGAATAATCTTCTCACCACAACTTAATACGATCGCTTGCTGACGGAATAATGACATGACCTGGCTTGTAGCCGGTGTATATATACAGCTGCGCATGCGTCGAGAAACGGTTCGATTTTTCGAGACGAGAATGAGCGAAGTTTCTCGTCTATTCCGGAGAAAAAATAATCGCGAACAGATAAATTTCCGGATTTTTCGACACTAAAATAAGATGCGAGTCTTATTTGAGATTGAATAAAATGGGAGAAATACTTGTCAAATTTAATTTATAGTGTAAAACTGATAGGAATCAATGATAAATATTGGGTCCGATTCCGAGATTCCGAGCAGTTGAGAATTTCGAACAGCTTATTTCAAATTAATACGTAAATTTTGATACGTGATAAGCATTAATATCATTTATTTGCATATAGAAATTAGCGTTCGATAATGTTGTCACAATTATATTTAATTCGCGGGCCAATTTTAATGAAAATGAAGTTTAGTCGTGTTTTATCTCTATGACATATGTTCGAGCTGTCATTTGCACATATGCTGCAAGTGTATTTGTGATTGATGTGAGTGTGAAGAAACGGAATCAGTTGGTGATTATGATTACAATTATATGACTGTAATTATGATCTTAATTATATTATAATATGACATATTATTGTCTTAAGAATTATTTATGTCTCTCTTATATCCGAAGTACAATTTATATAAGATTATCGAGAATAAATATTATCGAAAGTGAGCGTGTAATCTCGGAAACGTTGAGAAACATCGAGTGATATGCGTAAATACAATATACAAACGTGCGATAATTTCGTCACATAAATTTTGCGTGGGAGTGTGATGAAAATGATGCGACAATTCCGTCAATTCTCTGCGGGATCGTCAGCTCCAGGTAAACGTATTAATAAAACTGCCAAGAAATTTGCTACCTAGAATAAATATTGTTTATAAAAGTGCATACATATATAATATCAACAGAAAAGAATAATATTGAGCGATATTGTGTGTATGTATATGTTGATCCAAAAACAATAAATATTATCATGTCAGGTTATGGTCCATAACCTTCAAATATTAAATAGGCAAATGTTAAGTATAGGGATTACCTTTATCGACCGAAAGTAACATGGTTTATGTGTTATCGATTAACCTGTGAAGAAATTATCTATCTAAGATAAAATTATCTCGCGTCTCGTCGACAGCGCGATCTATGAATGAAGGTGCAATTTCATTGACGCTAGAAACCAGCGGCAAATTAAAATCAGTAGACTTTCTCTAGATTTGGCGTCAATAAAATAAAGTTCAAACAGTTTCAACTTTTTCAGTGTGTAAAGCGGCCTTTTCATTGACGCTACTTTTTAGCGTCAATGAAATTGCACCTTAACAGTTGGCAGCCCTACGAGATAGGCTGTGCAGCACTGCGCGTATATAAAATAAATTTGAAATCGCTTCTAGCTTAACCATCTTCACGCGATCGACTTTATTTGAATTGCACGGCATCGCATCGAATTATGATGCGGCGCCGATTTGTTCGAACGTAATTCGGGACATCGCGATGCTGTATAAGCGTCGAATAAGCACGAATTGTCACGCAAATATGATAAATCACAATCTACTCACCGTTCACCGGCTGTTCCACAGACCGCTCCACTCGCTCGCCTCGGGACGTCCCATTCCGATCTTGATGCACACGATATCATCAACGCGAACGCGCGACACTTTATTCGGCACTCCCGATATTCGCTCGCATCCGATAATTATCATCAAGGGCGCAAATAACGCGACGCGACTTCGCTCCATCTTCGCGATCGCGCTATCACTGAACTGTGAAAAATAGCTGTCGCGCACTTTCCCCGACATATTATGAAAGTCGCGCGATCATCCTTGGACACTTTCGACGCTCTTTCACTCGCGATATTCGTTTAAAAACGGTTAAAAGACGCGAAAAATGCGGACGTACGACGATCCGTGTAACTGCGTATGACTCCGATTCACGTATGACGCGTATGACGTAGCAATGACGCGTATGACGTAGCGATCACGCGCTAACATGGCGGCCGAACCAGTGCGCAGAAACGAATGCGCACTGGTTCGGCCGCCATGTTAGCGCGTGATCGCTACGTCATACGCGTCATACGTGAATCGGAGTCATACGCAGTTACACGAATCGTCGTACGTCCGCATTTTTCGCGTCTTTTAACCGTTTTTAAACGAATATCGCGAGTGAAAGAGCGTCGAAAGTGTCCAAGGATGATCGCGCGACTTTCATAATATGTCGGTGAAAGTGCGCGACAGCTATTTTTCACAGTTCAGTGATAGCGCGATCGCGAAGATGGAGCGAAGTCGCGTCGCGTTATTTGCGCCCTTGATGATGATTATCGGATGCGAGCGAATATCGGGAGTGCCGAATAAAGTGTCGCGCGTTCGCGTTGATGATATCGTGTGCATCAAGATCGGAATGGGACGTCCCGAGGCGAGCGAGTGGAGCGGCCTGTGGAACAGCCGGTGAACGGTGAGTAGATGTGATTTATCATATTTGCGTGACAATTCGTGCTCATTCGACACTTATACAGCATCGCGATGTCCCGAATTACGTTCGAACAAATCGGCGCCGCATCATAATTCGATGCGATGCCGTGCAATTCAAATAAAGTCGATCGCGTGAAGATGGTTAGACTAGAAGCGATTTCAAATTTATTTTATATACGCGCAGTGCTGCACAGCCTATCTCGTAGGGCTGCCAACTGTTAAACGATAAATTTTTTCGATCTAACTTAACCTAACATAACCTCTCAGTGCTTTGGATGTCGAATGTAAACACAAACGTATGTTGCCTGGATTTTATCATGCTTTCAAAAATAATATTTAATTATTTTATTAGTGTATTACATTTTATTACGTAGTATATTAATCGTATTAAATGTGCGACGTACAGTTTTACACATTTTAATGAGAAGCATATAATATAATTGGTTAGGTTAGATTAAATTAAAACAAGCTGCTGTGATTCATTTAATAGGATCTATAGGATTAATTTGACGAATGTGCAGCTGTTGAAGTTACATGATATTTGTGGACACATTTTTAAAGTAATCATGAGTGTCTTATCTCATCTTGATTATATGAAATTAAAATATAAAATATTTATGTATTCCACATTAACGTTATTCATTACAAGTATTCATTACTATATTACTTTTCTTATATCTCAATCATATTTCATCGATGAAGCTTTTCATATATCGCAGACAATATGATACTGTGTGTGGAATTTTACACAGATAATACATGGCACAAAAATAATTTGTTCTCAAGTATTGTGCGCATTTCTCAAAAATAAATCAAATTAAATTATTTTAAGTAGGATCCAAAAATCACTACATTGCCAGGATCGTATCTTATTATAACTGCGATATTATCACCTTTTAATATGTGTGCGCAGTATTACTTACATAAAATATATAAATTTATTTGAAACGTACGGAAATCTTTATCTTATTTATAATATTTATGATATAAAAAGAAAATTGCAACTCTAATGAAACAGAGCGATGGAATAATTGGTTGATACTTATCCTGGTCTACAATATTTATCCTTTTTTCATCATTAAATTTTTGGTGCTTTTTTTATTATACAGATGTTATCTGTAAATATAGTACTTGTAATGTTGCTGCTGTATCACTGTAAGCACACAAAGTGATAGCATTTGCAGGTAATTATGTTATACTTATATATCATAAGAAAGAGAAAATAAAATTAAAGTTGAATACTGAATGTGCTCTAAAGTAAATCTCATCCAAATAAATGCATAAATGTGCGCCCCACATTCCTCATGAAAAAAATACATAATATTAATTTTTATGTATTATTATTTTTAGATTTTTATTCTTTTAAATTCTCTAGATGCACTTTTCATTTCTCCTCTCTTTCTTTCCAACTACTAAATATAGATCTATCATTTTTAATATAGATCTGTCATTTTTAGTGTACATTATTGCAGTAAGTGGAATAAAGAGCAAATCTTTTGGCGCATTTAAAATGTACAGGAAAGTTTTATCTGATGCGTTTTTTTCAATAGAAATATCTGAAAAAAATGCATACGTCTTTTTTAATCTTAGTCTTTCTAAATAAAAATTAGAATAATAAATTTGCAAAATAATTTGCTTTAATATATTTTTATTGCAAACATATGAAGCAAAGTGCTCAAGGTGCATCACTATGAAAACATCGATAGAATAAAAAATAGATCGCATACAAAAAAATTAAAATATTTACATTACATATTTGATATTTCTGCAAATATTTCCATTATTTTGAGATTGATTTGTTTCATGATATATTGCAATAATTAAAGTATGATTTCTGATATAATCTGCCATGAGACTGCAGAGAAAGCCAGCTTTAATTCTTTATTTTGTTCAATATTTTTAATAATATAATAATTAAATTAAAGTTCTATGAAAATATGCTTGAAATACTAAATAAAAAAGATTGTGTCTTATGTACAACCTTATACCTTATAGTTTAAGTAAACAAAAAATTATTGTTAATAATATACATATATAAATTGATAATTAAATAAAACAATTAATTAATTAATCGACACAATCCACGTTTTTTTTTAGCTTTATGTCTAACATATATATATATATATATATATATATATATATATATATATGTATATTTATTTTTATAAATAAAAAATGTTTCTTTCTAATATAAATTAAATAAAAAGTAATAATATGCCTTTAAATACTTCATATACATACCTGTTGCAATAAACCAATAAAGAATGCTTTTACATTCCTCCTTGTACTTTGGCATACATATCCTTTATGCCAATTATCTCGCAACACGCTTTTATTGCATGATGACAAACAAGCCCATTATCCTTCATGAATTTTCTTTACAAATATTTTTATATTCTCAAACTGTGTAAAGAAATCATGTAACACTGAAAAATACAAAGTGATATTAAAAGAGAAGAAATAAATTTTATATTATATAGTATTGACAATTATTTTCTTACCAGTGTATTCCTTATATGTAGGAATATACATTAGTCTTTGACCAGCCCTATTTTTAACCGTCTTTAGGGATGCTTTGGCTTTTGATAACGCAAATCCAGCTAATCCATTTCCATTTCCAGTTACTATAAATGAACTGATTCTAGTCTTACGTGCTAAATTACCGGTCATACAAGTTATCATTTTGTTTTCCAAAATCCAGGTTTCAAAACTTTCAAATGTATCTACAGAAAACAAAGATATTAATTATATAAGATTCTAATATTTAGAACTGAAACATCAAAAAAAAATTGAAAATAGACATTGTATCACATGATTTTTGTATGTATGTGATTTAACCATTATAATCCAATAATAGCATAAATATTAACCTTTTCCAATAAGATCTGATTCAATGCTTCTGCCATCCATTGTAACACTCGTCCAACCACATTCCAATGGTGATAATTTTATTTGCATTGGTCTGGTCTGACTTTGTGGTAATTCCATAAGTTTTTGCTGTTGAATTAATTCTTTTCCTCTAAACACAGGAGTGTTTAGATCAGGAAATTGTATCGGAATTTTTCCCATGCCAATAATTTGCTCCTTATTTAGGAGCTTTCTCTTTTCACTACTCTTCTTGCTCTATCTCTGCGTCTTCCTGCATTACTGATACTTGTCACACCCTTTCATAATTCATCTTCAGATCCTATAGAACAAAAGCACAGTGAAATACAAATTATTTTCTACTGTAAATATAAACTATTATCAAAATGCTATATCCATAAAAGTTCTACTTACTATTCGCAAAAAATATAGAGTTTCTCACATTATTTAATAAAGTGACTATTTTTAATAAATGTGAATGACTGACAAGCAATAAATTAAACAATATTAAACAATAATATACCTGAAAAAAATTTCATAATTTTATTGGAGTTAAATTGATAAATTAATTTTAAATACACATTATATGTTAATTACATATAATGATTTAGAGACAATGATATATTTCATTTGCGTTACCATTGTTTATAGATTGAACATTTTTTATCAAATTATTTACAATTCTAAATATGTAGCATACGACAAGCCATTTTTAAAATCTATAAAACAAACAACAAAGTTGTTCATAGTTTTCACTCTTTTTTGTCATAGTCTGCTTTTAGGCGATCTTAAAGTCACTAGATTAACAAAGTATCCGGCTTTAGGTTATCCCTGAAAGGACGATGCGTCCTCTATAAACAAAAATATGAACTTAAGGTGCAATTTCATTGACGCTAAAAAGTAGCGTCAATGATATTGCACCTTGAAGCATTTGTTCTCTAATTTTTTCTATGTCATGATTCAACGACTTCAAATTTTGAATTTGATACGCAGCAACACAAAGAACAGGGAGGATAAAGTGTTCTTTTCAGTAGGAATAGACACGAAATTGCGTTGAAATCTCGTTTATTATGTGATATAATCGTTTCGCGCGTTTTGTTTTTCTCTTATTAATTATCTTACTCTGTAAGTTCGTAAAAAATCACATAAACAATACGTAGAAATGAAGGAGGAAAACGTGTTGCACGTAGAGATATGTCAACGTGTCGACAGGTATTGTTTACTTTAAATTAAGTCTTATTTTGCCGAGTGCATGGTTGTATGATTTCACTATTTGATCTTTGACGAAAATTTAAATTCATGGTTTATGTTAACCTAAAAATTACTTAAAAAGTGAGTTACTTAATAATAATTTTTCTTTATGACCTTATGTGTATAATATGTGCTGCAATTTGATATAAGTGAATGATAATGATAAAAAATATTTTTTCTATTTATGCATATTATTTTTCAAAGTTTATTGAAACAATTAAATCTAAAAAATTAACATAATTAAAGATTTCATTAGTTTAATAAATATTTATAAATAATATCAATAGTAATTTAGATGCCTAACTGTTCTAGTATCTAAAGAAAGTCTTAAAATTTATATTTTATTGCGATTCAATGATTTTTGATAGTATTTATTGTTTTAGCACTTGGTCGAGAGAAACAATTGAGGAGACAGTAAGCACAGAATTTAAAACATGGAAAGAGGTTTCTCTCGATATTATTTTACACGGTAAAGATTTCTTAAACAATATAGCTATACAGAATCATGTTGAATCTATAATATGCTCATCTAATTATATAGAGGTATTTATTTTCTATATTAATTTCTTGCAGAAAGATATATTCTGTACATATATATATAATTATATATATTTCAGAAAGGAAAAGTTAAAATTGAAGGAGCTACCATTAAATATTATATCTATAGACTGACACAGGAAGGTGCTGCGACAGAAACAATGAATTCCAATTCTGATGAATTGTCAGTTGCATCTCATTGGTTGTTACCTGCACAGGAATTTCATTACATGTGGGAGAATCTGTATTATGATTGTGACATAAAAAACAATGTTAGTAAATTTAGTAGATAAATTTATGTACATAATAGAAATCATTTTTTTATATATATTGTTAAAGTTACTTGATATATTTTATTGAAAGATTTTAAGTTAATTCTTTCCTTTTTTTTTAGTTATTGCATTTTGTGGAGACAACAATGTTATTTTCTTCTCTTGCCGTTAACTCTAATATTATAAGTTGGAATAAAGTGGTGTTGTTGCACGGTCCTCCAGGTACAGGCAAGACCAGCATGTGCAAAGCTCTAGCACAAAAAGCTGTAATTCGTATGATAGATCGATTCACTCATGGAAAATTCATAGAAATAAATAGTCACAGCCTATTCTCAAAGTGGTTTTCTGAAGTAAATATTCAATTATGATTTATTTTTATCTAGTGTTTTACAGAATAATATAAAATTAAAATTCTTAAATCTATACATATTAACTAGAAATATTCACACAATTAGCTAACGAGATCTAAGTATTATCTCATATTACATCAGGTAAACATATTCTGTATTTTCTATAGAGTGGAAAACTTGTTATGAAGCTGTTTGATGAAATAAAAAGTTTAGTGCAAGATGAAAGTGCATTGGTATGCATTTTGATTGACGAGGTAGAATCATTAGCACACGCACGTAAATCGTGCAACAACGGAACCGAACCATCTGACTCTATACGCGTTGTGAACGCATTGCTTACGCAATTGGATCAAATCAAGCGATACCCAAACGTTTTAATCTTAACGACGAGCAATATGACGGAAGCGATAGATCTTGCGTTCATCGATCGAGCTGACATCAAGCAATATCTTGGATATCCATCCGAAGTTGCTATTTATAACATTTATCATTCGTGCCTGAAGGAATTAATGAGGGTACATAGATTTTGCAGAATAATTTATAAATGTTAAGTGTAAAAAATAATATAGAAAATTGTGACATTAAAATGTCTCTTTATATTCTATATGTGAGAGAGAGTTCTTAATATCAGACTATAATATTAGACAATATTAAACATAAAGTCTTAATATTAAAATATAATATTAGATTATATTAATAAATATCAGTCAAATATTAATACAATATCTTCCTCAATACAATCAATTCCTTAATTTAACATTGTATTTTTTTGTATGTTCCAGACTGAAATTTTGAAGCGTGAAGAGATATGTGATATATCGCAGTTAAAGCTATTCGGGTACACAGAGGATTCAAATACCAAGAACAGTTTGAAACTACTGGAACTTAGTCGTGTTAGCGAAGGTTTGACCGGTCGCACCTTAAGAAAAATACCATTTTTGACGCACGCTCTTCACTTATCCACAGACAAATCTACACTATCCAAATTTCTGAAAGCCATGCATTCGGCTATTTTGAAAGTTCAGCAAGAAGGCGAATTGCAACAATCATAAACATAAAGGTTTCTTTCCTATTTATTAATATTATTTTATATATTTATGCTATTTTTTTACATGCTTATATTTAATAATACGTGATTTTTTTTTATCGTAATATCGTATTTTAAAAAAATTTTTTTATAATAAATAATTGTTGCAAAAAAATGATAATCGTTACCAAAGTTGATTTATGGACATAAAGTTGAAATATAATTGATCTTACATACACAACTTTGGAAACAAATATCTAATCGCAATAATCAAAGGTTTCTGGTTTGACAAAAGAAGAAATTTAAAATTTCTCCATATATATGCGTTCTTTGATCTAAAAATATGTAATCGAAATACGAAACTATATAACAGTTTCTATGAGGTCCAGTTTTGCACTGATCCCGCCTTGTCGCGCAACCGCCATTAAAGTCACTGAGATGCGACCGCTATTAAAGTTACGCTTCGTTCCGCTTCGGCAATGCGGACTATACTTTGCGCCGGTACGCGAGTTTTTTTTATACAATATTATCGCGATGTATCTTTATTTCGAATATAGACAAGTACTACTGTAAATTTTACTTATTGCGAGTAAAATACAACGAACACTGCGTTAATAAATAAACTAAGAAAGAACGAATAACGATGTAAAGATGCAACAACAATTGACAGTCTCTCGAATATGCTTATTTTATATCAGATGCTTCCGATATTACTAAATATTAGATTCTACAACATCAACACCAACATACAGTTTGTATACACGTATATCTCTGATTTTATATAATCTATATTAAATCCTAAAAGAATGGCGCTAGACTGATGGAAAGGAAATGAATATAAGCAAAGATAGAATCCGATGAAGATAATGAGATTCATATTTTTTATACAATGGTAGGCGGTTGCAGAACCGCTGGTGCTCTTCTAACTTTTAATGCTTCCGGACTCATGGCACGCGTTTGCTTCGCGATGTGATTGTAATCATACACGTTCTGGCCATTGTCCAGGCTAGACTTCCTCGCGAATGTTTTTGCATGAGACGAATTGACAGATTTTTGTCGATTTATCGATGTGCCGTTGTAGAGCGCATCGGCCGCGATACTGCCTTCCTCCATCACCTCTTGTCGATATCGTCCACGTCGTATTCTTAGCAATGTATACGCACCGATGGAAATCAGCAGCAACAAGAACAGCAAACCGACTGCCACGGCCGCGGCTATAACGCGCATTTCTGTAGGATCTCTCATTATCAATTTGATATTCGTCGAATCCCGACCTTTCTCGCTCTCTATCAATAAAGTATATATCCGGGCGTCTTCCTTTTGCAGATCCTTAATTTCCAGCTTAGCCCAATAACAGTTGGTCACCATTTTATTCTCGACGATAGGCTCCAATGGCAGAGCCTCATATTTTGGATGAATACTTTCTCCTATTAAAAGTTCCAAAGAATTAGTAAAATGGATTAAAAAATGGAACAGATACGATTTGGAACAACTTAATAAGTAACTTGATTTAATTATCTTTTTGAGAAAGGAATTTATTAAATCAAATATTACGTACCAGCTCGAATATGATAACTACCCCATTGCCAAGCGACCAATTTCGGCGGCGGCCGTGAGCAGAAGCGGGACTTGAGCCTGTGCACAGGCTCGCCGACCCATCCGATGGACTCGTAGAAATCTCGGTCGCCTGGTAACGGCCTGGCCTGTATTTCCGGTGGTCCGGTCACATGCAGCACGTAGCGTACATCACTGGCGGTTTCTCGTTTGACCCCGTTGATTGTGTTGAAGGCGATGCAACGGTACTCTCCCTCGTCGGACCACATGATATTCTCAAGACGCAGACGTCGACCACCACCCTTGTTCTGCACGTGGTTTCCGATGATTTCCGTGGAGCCACCGCGAAGATGTATCCATCTGTACTGAGCGGGTGGATTGGCTTCGAACTCGGGACACTCGAAGAGCTCCACCTTGGAACTCAGCAGAGCCGTCTCCTCTATGTCCATGGAAGTATCATTTTCTATCTTCTTCAACTTTGGATCATCTATGAAGAAATATACATCTGTTTTTCTATGCTATAAAAGGTAAAAAAGTAAAATACTATAAACAGTATTATGGGGAAATGTTGTAAATTGCATTTTTGGAATTTTATAATGCTTGGAATCACTTATTTGTCTGTAGGGAAGAAAAGAGTTGAGCAAAACAACTTTCACAATAATATAATATCGTGTATGATAAGAATATGCGAAGATTGTCATAATGTACTGTGTGATTTTGCGAGGAAAGCGATACTATTTTGAAAGGAGGAAGATGGGAAATAGTAGGATATATATCAGAAGCAAAATATTGTAATTGTACGAACATTGCACATCGAGTCTGTAACTCGCAGGAGCGCTTTCACCGATGTTGTTAGCCGCCTTGCACGAGTACAGGCCAGCATCGTGCCTCTTGACCGGTTCGAAGCGTAGCTCGGCGCCCCACACGCTGTCGTTCAACTGCGTCATTCTGCCTTGTATCAAGGAGGGCGGCGACGGCGATGCTGCCGTATCGGTCACCGACGCGCTGAGCGGCATCGAGTCTTTGAACCACTTGATGCTCGCAACCGGATTAGCATCCGCCAGGCACTTGAGGCTCAAGAAGCTTGCCGAATCCTCTGGAGCGAACGTAAGCGGCTGCGGACTCGTCTCGAGTCGCACTTCCGGCAAATCTGAAAGCATCTCTGTTACATATATGTTGCGAGACGTTAGAGGCAAAAAAAGAATTTATATTAGAAAAGTGGAAATTATATCAGCTTTTCATTTATTAGTACATTTTCATTAATACATTTTTAAATTGTGAAACCAATTAGAAATAAATTATTTGAATAAATAATATAAGGAGAGCTACATCAGAAATTGAACATAGAGAAAAAAAGTTTTTTAGTTCTTATATATATATTTTGGAAAAGATGCATATATCTTTCTTTTTGCTTAAAAAATATATCTTTTGTCGATTTTGAGAGATCTGATAATTATTTTTGATAATTATTTGGTATCGTAATTGTTTATATGGGGTAAAATTTGTGTTCATTGTTTTAGAGAGACGGATTGTGCACATACAATGAACGTCCAATCGCGATTCTACGCTGACCGGTGTTAAATTCGACGGATGCACGGTCACACATCGGATCGGCAGACCGTGATTCTCCCTCTGACCACGCACCCGTAGAAGACTATGAGCCGCCCAGGTCTTCCGATTATCCACCTCCGTTGCGTTATTCTGCTCCCCCAAAGGTTCTACCTCGTCGTTCCCTATGAACCTGTTCGACAAATTTGCCAGCATTACAAGTATGAGAAAACTTAACACTTCATTTAATTTTTAAGTAGACTGGAACGAATTTATAATCCACAAATTAGTTACAGACAGTTTAATGTTGAAAATTGAGAATTCGGGCGATAAATTCCTTTTGATATTTTCGTTAAAAATATCGATTCTAAAATTATTTAAAAATTCAGTAAAGCGTGAAAAATGGTTTGTTATACAAGAAAGCTTTTTTATTATACATATTCCAATTTTTTTTCTATCGAGAGGGTCCATCGACCTGTTGAGTTGGATTGCAGAAGAATGTGCAAACGAAAGTTTGATGCTCATAATTAGTCCACGATATAGTTCCGTTTCCGCGATGATTCACATAATCCATCAGTTTCCGCTGACTGCGGATTAGCCTTCTTCCCAGAAAAAAAAGAAGATCCGTAACCCTTTTCTACCATGATTCACAGGCGCAACGGCAGGATTACGCTCGCGGCCAGTTTCTCTGTTTCTATAGCTATAATCTACATAATTATACTCGGTCCTGTCCGCAACCCAAAGAAAAAGAAAACCGGGGATCATTAAACCGTAGCTATTATTGGTCGTAAAAGAAAAGAATGCGCTCAATATTGTTTCAGACAAGTCCCACCGGACGAAATTCTTCATTAGGATCAGGAACCAAAATAAATGCGTGGGAACTCACAAATGTTATAGACGTTTCTGTAGCGCGCGAACATCACTATATTTTCCAAGCAAAATATGAAAATAAAAATAGTCATTCTTGCACGGATAAGAATGCAAAGCAACAAATTAAAAAATTGCACGGGCGTAAGAGTTTAAAACCTTTAAATTAAAGAAGGATATCTGCGAAAGATTAAAAGTTACAGTTTCACAATGGTTTGTGTTGCCTGAGATGCTCTACATTTGACAAGACAGTAACGTCGTGCCGGAAAGAACTTGAATTTTCCTTCAAAGGGTCCATTCATTTATGAGCCCTCGTGGAAAGGAATACATATGCTACTATTCAGGTCTTAAATTACATCCCCTGGTTCTTTTCTGGGAATAAGTGAAGCATGCACTTTCAAAAGAAGCGCGTGCCATCCGTAGAACAGATGTTTTACATCGTAAGAACATAGATAAGGCGCGGCTAAATTCATCAGACCGTGAACCAAAACGACGATCCCTCCGCGCGGCCCTTTCCTGCACAAACATAACGTCATGAATTCTTGCAGCTCTCATCTGCTCTGCACTACAATAATAAACACTACAATAAACTGTCGATATTTATGTTTGAAACTGGCCATATTTTTTACAAATTAAATGCAAGTGTAAAATGTAAACGCGTTACTTGACTGCACACAATAGTGTTGTTTTGCAAACTATGTATTAACATAACTTTTTAGTGAACAGTTTGACAAAAAAAATTACAAGGAAATTATTTCGATTTTTTAGATACTGGAATATCGTTTCAAAATCGCGAAAAATATTCATAATATCCTACCAGAGGATTTTTATGAAGAAAGAATTTCTTTCCTGGTGTTTACTATTAAAAATAAATATACTTTAAATTTTAAAAGAGAACTTAAAAATACACTTCAATTTCAAAGAAATTGTCAGATTTTTTTTCTAAATTTTTTTAAGGAAAATGTAAATATAAATATGTCTTGTATGATATTTTAGGATAATCAGGTTTAACGAAGGAATTTATTTATTTTTAAGATAGATTTTCTTCTTTTCTCCCTCTCTTCTTCGTTACGTTTTTTTCCAAAATTTACTGATAAAGAGTGTAAATTATTTAGTACTTCTTTAATCATCTATTACTACATTTTTTCCCTATCAAAATCGATCTGCATTCCAATAGTCGTCTAATAGCGTCTAAAAGTAGAATGTTTTACTCCTAATCGTTTTGTCTCAGGTAAAAGACCGGAGACAAATGGACTCATTCGTAAATATCTGGTATAAGGTTTAAACCTTTCATCTTTTTTCCCTATTCTTTTCTATCCTCATCATTTTAGAATCTTTTGTGGAAAGAAATAGTACAGAGTTTTTTTTTATAATCAATATAAATGCGCAAAAAAGATGAAAAAAAGAAAAAAAGAGCCATAAAAACAAAATATTTATTCTTTTTCTCTTTGATAATATTTTCTCAAATTGTTCCGCAAACATATATACACAGTGGCAACACAATTTTTTATTATCTCATTTAAATTCCAAAGAGAGTTTTGTATACATGTATTTTTATTTTCTTACTTCTTAATGAAAAATATTGATCAATATTGCAATTATTTATTTGTTTATTTTTTTTCAGATATTTAGATAGATTTCTTTTAAAAGATTTCTTTTATTATTATTAAGAATTCTTTTAAAGATTTCTTTTAAAAATGTCTTTTATCATTAGCATAATCTCTCACTGTGACAATATTCGTTTAAAGACTAAAAGTGTCAGCTTACCACTTGATGAGGGCGGGTGGATTTCCGTATCTTGAAACGCACGAAATCAGGACGTCTTGTCCTTCCTGCAGCGTTAACGTAGCACCCAAGAGGGCCCCTCTTAATTCCAGTTGAGGTTCCCTGGGTTTCACTGAAACACGCATTAGGGTGCATTTAGATAAGATAAAACGAGACAGAAATTATGTGCTTGGATTACTCCCGCTTTAGCTTCTTTCTTGAGCGAATAGTTATATATGAACGTGATCCTACGTTACGGTCATGAATAACCGTCCGAAGGAGCCGATTGGGTCATTGAGAACTCTCGACCAAATTTACATTAACACGGATGTTGCAAAATTGCGGAAAACTAGAGCATAACGACCGCTCTATACATTTTCTTGCATCACTCGAGGTCAATGTTCGCGGAATATTAACGATGTTTCCCCCAAACGATTCGTTTTAATGAAATATTTGAGATTGCTTGATATATGTTAATATATTGCATAAATTATATGAAGATATATTATAAAAAATAACAGAAAATGCTCTTTTTTAATGAAGAAATATGCGTAGTAAAGTGCTCAAATAATTTTTATAACGCATGAATGTGAAATTCTTTTTCATAATCATCTTGTTTATATTATTTTGCTGTAATTAGTTTTATATCTTTAAATTAGCTTGATATATATATATATATATATATATATATATATATATGTATGTATGTATGTATATGTATATTGTGCGAATAATAATTATATAATAATTACATGTAACGTTTCTTTATCCTACAATAATAATAATTTTTATTATTATAAATATAATTTTTATTATGTAGTAAATTATATCTAGTAAAATATAAGAACATATATAACACGCGTATGTATAATTATTTCAAAATTGGAGTAATTATTTTTTTTTAATTCAATCTTTATCATTAATAAGGATATTTATATTAAACAAATATATTTTTAATATAATTTTGCAACGTCTGTGTTTTGAATAAATATATTTTTCATTTGAATTACAGAATACATATTGTGAGAAAAATGCGAATAATTAATAGAGCATCTGTTTATCGTAGGAGAGAGATATATCATTCTCTTATTTATTACGTTAAAACTTTACATGTGAATGAATCTCTAAAGTAATGTGTTTCGCATACAGATCGAGTTAAAGTCTCACCCCTTACGAGCAACCTAGACTGTTCGGACGAGAGTGCGTCCTGGACGACAAAGTCACTGGATGTGACTTGACATTCCCAGAAGCCGTCGTCGAAGTTCAGGGTGGCTCGTCGGATCAACAGGGTGCAATCGCTGCCACCGCTCGCCCACTCATACTTGTCCGCTTGCATCCCCACCGGCCTCCGGTCCTTCTGCCAAATGCAATTGCCACGCTTATCTCGTATCTTGCATTGCAATTGCACATCGTCACCGGACGCTACTTCTTGATAGAGCGGCGGCTTTTCGATAAATTGTTGTTTGCCGATGACTGAATTGTGCCAGGTACACGTGACGAAAAGCAATATTGACAAACGGACAATCGAGCGATCGAGCGTCATTGTGTTGCGATAAAACCAAGGAATTCGCGATTCGATCAAGGCATCTTTATTAAATATTTGAAGAAGAATTTATTTGGAAATGGTTTCCTCTGGTGTGGAGATTAGAAAATGAGTAGATTCGGAAAACGTTTAGATTTACGGAAAAAACCGGAAATTCGATAGATTAGATAGAGTATCGTAAAGTTTAAAGGTCCTATAAACTTGAAAATTTTTATGGCTGTTAGGATCCGGAGGATGTAAGGCTTTTGTAGATTGCGGAGTGTTTGATTTGAGAATGCAATGGTCTGTAAAATAAGAAATTTGAAGATTTATGATTTAGAGAAATTACATAAAAATTATAAAATAGAAAAGTGTGAGTATACAAAGATGTTGTTTAATTCAAGAATCTGCGTCAAATGAAAACTTAAATTCTTCAGAGAAAGTAACATATAGTATGAACAAACGAAATACACAGTCGAAGATCATTAATCGATCTCAGAGTTCAAGGTAAGATATGATTCACATTACATTCGCAGATCCACTCATAGATAAACAGAGCATACTCCGCCTTACATTTCGCCATCAACAATCGATGGAATAAATGGTTCGTAATCGCGGAACATTCACTCGCGAGTCTCTCGCTCGAAAATTCATTGAAGCAACGCGAACTCGCTCAGGCCTTGCATTTTATTGCCGCTCCTAATAGCGCGAAAGTCTACGGGCGATCGAAATGATTCCAAATGCTTTCACCAGGATTATCGTCTCTTCTCGACGCGGCAAAAACAATTTTTTTTTTTTATAAAACTCCGAATAAAATGATTTAATAACTGAATGAGCGTATTATACCGATGTACACCGCATCGCACAATATTTATTAACGATTGATTTTTGTTTCAGTAATTCACGAGAATATTGATCACTGACACATCGATCACATTCAGAACCATGTAGAAGCGCGCACGATCTATTCAGTGACGGTAAACACCGACTGAATGAGCCGCCTGAGTTTGAAGGGTCGTATCTCCACTCAACGTAGCGCCTCCTCGACGAATCAGTGAAAACTATACCATCCACCTAAATCCCGTTTCTTTCAGTGGTTTGTTCGATTATTATTTAGTATATTATAATTATTATTATTTAATGATAGTTATATTTGTGTCCGAAAAATATTTCTGTCATTTATGAGCAATTTAATCTTTACTCATCGAATAATCGTTTTATGAAATAACAGATTTCGAGAAAAGGCAATTTTATAAAATAGAGATTTGTAAAGTAAAGATTTAACAGCGGCTCGATAAAAAGATATAACAATCTATTGAAAAATCTATTGAAAAAAGTAACTTGAATTTAGCGCACATTATTGAATTATTTTAGATTGTGTTACTAAATAAAACTTTGTACTTTTTTATATATTAATAACCGCCGTTGAAATGAATTAAAAACATAAGTCTGTTATTGATTGTTCAATTTTCAAAGTCAATTTTTTCGAAGACAAAAGTCCTTGAGAAAAATTTTTTTCTTACTTATTTTACATAAGAAATTATTCTTTTCATATAAAATTTTCGATATTATTTCTTGATAAATAATGATTCGCGACTCACAATGTATTAAACCGCGAACACTTTAAGAAATATTTTTTAATATTTGTAATTTTCACGATGAGAAGTTTATACGCAACAGGAGAAAGTGGCGAAGGCAATGAAACCATATTAAAAATTCATCTTAATACATATATACTATTTCATAAAAATTTTTATAATTATCGACAATAATAAATAGTGAAGAATTGAACACAAATTTATTTTATTTTATTTTTTTTCAAAAGAAATCAATTCGAAAGGATTAAAATATAGCGCGACGGAGTACTTGGCGCGGAAAGAAAGTGCGCGGTAAATAGAGTGATTGTGTCCAGGACGCGTGTTTCCAGCAGCATGACGTGGAACGCCACGAGTCGCGAATTAACCCGTTAAAGAATTATTCTTTCTCTTAGAAAGACGTGTAGCATGTTCGTATATTCGTTATGCGATCTTATAAAAATTCAACAGTTACTTGCGACGCCAAATATTGCGAATTGAAATTAAAAATTACATTCTTGTCTCAGAAATAATTTATAATCTTATATTTATTATATATATATTTATTAAACAAAATAGCAACAAAAGCGAAATTGTTTAAATAAAAAATTTAACAATTATATACATATATACATATTAAAAGTTAACTCATTTTAATTATTGATCTTCTACAAGCTAAGATCATCAGAATAAAAACCATGATTCTTACATTAATGTTCATTATGCAATATTTCACATTTTTATTTTTCAATTTCGCTTAAACATGTGATATTATAAATAAATTATATTCTCAAGAGAAAGATTTAATTCATCTCTCAGCTACTTGACTTAAGTTGTGGCGCATAAATTTATACATTCGAATATTATAAAATATTGTAAATACCATTGTATCGGATCATTTAGTGATCGCGAGAGATCTATGCGCTCTATTACGCGAACAATTTTTATAAATGCGATAGATATTCCGCGCTCTCTCTGCATTCTACATAGAAAATCCCGACTCGGTTCCACATCGTGGTCCACATAGTGACCGGACTGGAAGCGGAAAACGGACCCCAAACGCGGGCTCACGCGTGCGTATCCAACCCTGCATCCTCTCCGGCGGTATCCTTATTATTCGAGCGTGTTATCATGTGCGCCATACACTGCGTTTGGTGTTAAATCGTGCTTTGTTGTATTTTTTTATATTACACATTTTCTGTTTAATAGTCTCTTGTCTCTAAACACATTAAAAAAATTATTATCTGGGGTTTCTATTAGCGAATACATAAGTATAAAGATGATCAATACACTATAAATATATGAAGTATATTAATAATGTCATGGAAATTACGTAAATATCCTGCATTTTTATTCTTTTTTTTTTATGTGAAGGATCACTTGGAATCCGATGCAGTTATTTGTGTTTATCTAATATCGTTTCTCTCTTTTATCTATTATGTTTTATCTTATACAATATTTGTTGCATTTATAAAACATGTTTATATACGTCCAAAAAAATTTTCATTTTTATATTCTTAAATTTCCAATGATATTCAAATGGTATTATAATAGGTTTATAATATTTTTATATCATCTGAATAGCAGATTTTATATTTTTCATGTTTAAAACTCACAACTTTCACATGAAGTAAAAATGTGACAATTGAAGACAATTGATTGTATAAAAATATGTAATGGTTTTGGAAATCTCTTTCAGTTTTGACACAATGTTAATTGTTTTCCACACATTTTTATTTTAAAAATTATAATTCTGTAAGATATGAAAAATGACAGCTAATGTAAATTATGTTCAGTCGATAAAATGGATAATTTAATGTTTCCAAATTACCAGCAAAGGATATGCAATACCTTATTATCGACTGAATTATTAACCGTTAAACTTCTATCAAGTGGCGACCTCTTCGTATTAACTTTGGTTATATAATTTCAAATTTCATGTTTCATGTTGTTTCGTAGTGTTCTGAGACGTGAATCTTTTCTCCTGAAATATTTTCAAGAAAATTCTCATTTAGACAGGTAAAATAAAAACTATTTAACGCAGAATAAAGCGCAGAATGGAAAGCGATCACAATTTTATATTGGAATGTTCATTTATAAGTGTCGACTAATAATATTTATTTCAATAATTTGGAGGTATTCTCTCTAACCTTCCAATATTTGAAAAGCATTATTTCTAGTCTAGTCTAGCCTAGTTGATAATTGATTACATTTATAAAATTCATTATTCATCTCTAATTTATACACATTTATCGTCGAAATTATTCGAAATTATTCGATAAGCTATAAGCGTGACATTTATCTCTATATCCCTACGTTAAGTCGAAAAATAATTTTTATACTTGTCCGTATCATTGTAAAGAATTTAAGAAGCGAAACCGATCGATTCGTGATCATCGATTCGCTTTCGCGTTCGTGACAAATTAAAGGAGCGCAAGAATTAGCGCGAGGCTCACCTTCCCATATAGCATCTATGTCTAAAAGATATTCACAGGACATCCTGACAATGTCCAATCGCCTAAAGATATCTTCTGGATACCTTCTGGACATCTTTTGGATGTGCATGCTATGTGGGTTGATTTTCTCGCGTTTTTAACATTGAAAATTAGACGTGTAGCGAGAATAACGTCAATCCCTGCCGATAATATTTATAATACAAAGAACGCCGGGACAAAAGTTGCTCGCCGACTAATTGGCAACTGCAATTTCTCGCGATATAAATGCGCGATGAATATTTGCATTGAATTTATAAACGATCCCGGTTATTTCCGCGCGGCAATCAATTCACAGTAATTATACCCCGTTACAGCACACGTATCCTCCCTTTTAAGCTTTTGAACTTTCGCCTCGATATATATATATATATACATATATATATATATATATATATATATATATATGTGTATATGTATATGTATATGTATATATCGTTGCGCGCGCGTTATGCAGATTATCGTAAAAACATTTAAACGCGTTAACGCCGGCTTTGCGCGGCAGCGCGCGCAATCGTTTATCGCATCATCCTCTGGCGAAACTTTATACCCGCCCGCTATAGTTTTTTCATCGTAGATTGAACCCGGGGAGTCGTGTTTTTCAATTTGACCCCGGGCCGTGCGCGCGCGCCCCCCCTCCCTCGTTACCCTCTTCTCCCCCTTCCCTTGTTGTCCGCCGCCACCGCCGCGCCAGGTGATTACGAAATTACACGAGTGCGTGCATCGCATTTCGATTAAAACGAGCGCGGTTCTTCCTACGCGGACGTCCTACATCCCTCGGCGGGAAAATCCGCGTCGGCGCGAATATTCGAACATATTCGCCGATAATATCCATGAAACACGCGGCCGCATTCTTGTCGCGATTTTAATATTTCGCGTCACGCGCTCGCACCTGCATATTTATTTATTCGGGCTAAATCTGCGATGCCGCAAATTTGGAGGAGCGATAAACTGCAATTGAAAAGGTTGAAAATTGTTCCTGTGAAAAACGTATTGTAACTCAATCTCTGTAACACACGATTCTGTTTTATTTAATATATAATTATATTTAAAAAAAAAAAAAATATATATATATATATATATATATATATATATATATAATTTAATATACAAAAATCTATTAATATTTTAATATAATTATATGTTAAATTATATGTATTTTTAATATTATTAAATTATATGTATAATTATATGTATTAAATTAAATGTTAAATTATATGTATTTTTAATATATATAATTTAATATATAATTATATTAAAAATATATTTAATATAAAATATTTAATGCCTCCATATTATTATTTTTTTTGTTTGATTGTATATTAAAGAACTCGTAATAACAGTTATTTAATATTTAATATTTTCGAAATTATGTCTTCAGGGATATCTTGAGATGTTTTCTTGAAGAATTTATATCAGTTAATGGAGTCTTAAATCGAGATTTGTTACATTATTAAAATATGTAATTAGAAATTAGAATTTGAAATTAGAAAACTGCATCGGTTTCGAATCAAATTTTCAGGAAAATTTCTTCTAATTTCTCGGAATATCACGTGCATTAAAATATTGTAAATATTCAAGGGAAATGAGCTATAACTACGACGTATAAATGAAGTTGAGATATTCTCGCGCAGACTTTGAAAATAATATATCGAACTATCGAAAATATATAATATCGACCCGTAGTAAAGCGTAAAGACCGAAATCTACGTATCGGCGTTTTAATAGATAATAGTCCCCGATATTTACTGCGACAACTTAAGGTCGTTCGCGATATCTTGCGGCAATTCTCAGCGGCGAAATTGGCGGCAGTATATTATGGGGTGGCGGTGGGGATATCGAATGGAGAAGTCCTCTCATTGTCACCGCGCGGGATCTCGGATTTCGTTCTTATCCTCGGACACACAGCGGCGAAAACTTTTCCAAGATAAACTCGGTCGACGGTACCCCCGAAACGTTTCCGGCTTTTCTCCGTAGACTCCGGATTCGCGTGCGTACGCCGAAAACGCGATTTCGTAATCTCGCAGAAGGTAGTATATATGTGTAAC